TCATCAATCAATCCTTTCATTTATGTGATAGACCTGCATTTAAAATGAACATTTACCATAAATTAAAGGTATCTTATATTATTAGATATGTTATTATAAAACATGCTTTAGTTAAGGAGTTATTGATACTTCGAGTGCAAAATGATGAAATAAAACCTTGACAAAATGTACTTTTAAGTACTAATCAATTTGTTTTTAGGTTAAGACTAAGCATTCATAATAAATATATCATTCAGAATTCTAGCCTCCTTTTCGTGTTTTATCTTAATTATTTTAACAATTTTGAAGTATTTTATTATTGTTTTCTTGCAGGAGTAAGAAAGATTGTTTGACAGTTTTGTGCTAATCTTTTTTGTCCATATTTGTTGAAACCAAAGAAGAACAAAAAGATTGTTGATAGAACGAAGAATAAAAGTGATTAATGCCAAGTTTTTCAAAGATATTGAAGAAGAATTGATGTTCAAAGGAAAGAAAATCGGCTGAATCATGAAGTCCAATGTATATATATATACTCATAGAACATGAAGCTGCCAGGAATACAAAGCATTTCTAGGGATTTGAACAGATTTAATTTGAAATTCAAATGGCATCTTGATGATTTTATGGCACCAAGGAGACAGGATCACATTTATCAAATCTTGAAATCCTAAACTGGCATACGCTCGCCAGGTGAGCTCGCGAGCATTAAATTTTGTTTATCAGTGATAACAACTCGCCGTGAAAAAGAAGTTTAACGAGGAGAAATATATTGGAAGAAGGAAGAAAACATGTAGATTAAGGGTATATGGCAAAAACTCAAGTACCGCAACTACAGAAAAAACGATAATAAATAAGCTAAAACATAATAAAATTCAACAGTTATTTGCTTGGAAAGTTATCTACTTATATTAAGGAAGTAATTTCTGGTCTTATCCTATAATTAATTACGCCATGCCATTGTCGGTAAAAAATGGATTCATTCTGATATTAAACAACAATTTCTAATAATATGCTACTTATTAGTTTCAGCTCTTCTTAGATTTGTTAAGCAATCCCAAAGAATCTATATATATATATATATATATATATATAAACTACACAAAAAAAACTGAAAATATTATTGAATCCTTAATAAATAATAAAATAATATTATACTATATTTTTTAACAAGAGATTTAGTCCTGTGGTTTAGTTGATTTCGTCTGTCATTTTTAATCTTTGATTAGATTGAATAAACTACAATTGTTTAATATCACACACTTTGTTAAAACATGCAATTGCATCACTAAATCGAAACGACCCCGCAAATGTGAGAGAGGTGTGATGAAAACAAGAAATTTGACTCCTGTAGGCAATTATTAATTAGTACATGTAGTTTTCAAGGTGTAGAATCTAGAAATACTGAGGGTGCGTATAGAAGTCAAAGTTTCAATATTAGACATTTCGACACCATTCTTGGTAGCTTGGGTTCCAAGGACAAATAGTTTGATGTGGTCCAGGTCAGATAGAATCTTCAACTATACCAGTTCTCCTAGCAATTTCAGATTCTATCTGGTCTTCCCCTTCTATAGATAAATCTTTGGTGAATATGTGTGTGTGTGTATCCATGTATTATAAGGATTCTAAGACTTTCAAAATCAAAACTTCGTATAACAGAATGAAAAGGGGTAATTTGTTCACCCAAGTAAATTCCCAACTAAGCACTTGCCCTCTTATTCCTGTTAATAAAGTTCTAAAACCTTTCTTTCTTTTATCTGTGCTCATCGCCTTCCTTCTCATCCTCTCTGATGGAGTTGAAGCTGCGGCCGGCACGAACAAGGTTACTAATATTGGTGCTATCATTGATGGTAATTCCCGTACAGGCAAAGAAGAGAAAACAGCAATGGAAATTGCGGTCCAAAACTTCAACAACATCTCAAGAAACCACAAGCTCTCTCTTCACTTCAAGCATCCTGAAGGAGACCCTCTTCAAGCAGCTTATGCAGGTAAATAATCTAGCCATCTCTAAATGATTTTGAGTTTCTAGCTTAACATTAACAAGATTTGAAGCAGTAGCCATCTCTCTCTTCACAATTTTTCTTGCAGCTGAAGAGCTGATCAAAGAGAAGAAAGTGGAAGTGATTATTGGCATGGACAAATGGGAGGAAGCAGCCCTGGTTGCTAATATTGGAAACCAGTCTCAAGTTCCAATTCTTTCATTTGCAACACCAGCCAGAACTCCGATTTTAACTTCACTTCGTTGGCCTTTTCTAATTAGAATGGCCAGTGATGGGTCAGAACAGATGAGATGCATTGCAGCTCTTGTCCATTCTTATAATTGGAAAAGGGTAGTATTGATTTATGAAGATGACGTCTTAGGAAGTGAATATGGCAATTTAGCTCTTTTAACCGATGCTCTACAAGAGGTTGGTTCGGAGATTGAATACCGCTTGGTTCTTCCACCGTTTTCATTTTTAACGGATCCAAAAGATGTTGTTCAAGATGAGCTTATGAAGCTAAAACATCGAACTGAAGCTCGTGTTTTTATTGTTCTTCAGTCATCTTTGCCTATGCTCGCTTGTATTTTCGGAGAAGCTAAGAAAGCGGGGCTTGTAGGAAATGACACAGTCTGGATAGTTGCAAACAGTATTACTAGTTTCTTGGATTCTGTGGACAATCCTTTTTTTTCTTCTATGAAAGGCACTCTAGGAATCAAAACCTACTATTCTTCCAACAGTTCTTACAAAAGATTCGAAGGACTGTTCCAGAAAATTTTTCGGTCAGAGTATCTAAATGAAAATGATTTTCAGCCAGGAATTCAAGCATTAAGAGCCTATGACAGCATTGGTATTGTCACACAGGCTATAGAAAAACTAGGTAGCAACATTACTAGTCCAAATTTTTTTCTAAACAGCGTATTAGAAAGCGATTTCACTGGTTTGAGTGGTAGAATACGTTTCAAGGATGGGATGCTGTCAGATGCTCCTACATTAAGGATTGTTAATGTGGATGGGAAGAAATGTAAGGAACTGGATTTTTGGTTGCCAAATTGCGGTTTCTCGGATACCCTCTACTTGGAACAAGGCAAAGGAAGGTGCATAAACAGTGATGGTGGTAAAACCTCTAGAGGGTTGTCCGGTCCAGTGATTTGGCCTGGGGATCTCAACGGCCGAGACCCAAAAGGATGGGCAATGCCTACTGAAGCAAAGCCATTGCGAATAGTAGTCCCTCGAAGAACCTCGTTCAATAAGTTTGTGACATTTCGAAGTGGCGAGAAGCGGCCAGTAGGTTTTTGCGTTGACCTCTTTGACGAAGTCGTGAGACGATTGAATTACTCCATACCACACGTATTCGTCCCCTTTGATGGGCAGTATGGCGATATGATTGAAGGTGTCTACAACAAGGTAACGACTCTTTAACTTTGCTAGTTGATATTTATTAAAGAACTGAACCTTTAACTTTATTTGTAGATATTTACTAAAAAAATAATATAAATTATATTTTAAAATATTATTTTAAAATTTTAAATTTTTAGATTAAATTTATTTTTTAACATGATATTAAATTTTTAATAACTACATAATCACGATTTTGAATATTATTATTTCTATTTATTTAATAAAAAT